CCGAAATAAAGGCTATCATGAGAAGGTGCTTTGTTCCTACTCACTACTATAGGGACTTACATCAAAAATTGTAAGGCCTTATACAAGGGAACAAAAGTGTAGAAGACTACTACAAAAAGATGGAGATAGCCATGATAAGGGCTAATATTGAAGAGGATAGGAAAGCTACTATGGCAAGGTTCTTAAATGGCCTTAACAAAGACATAGCCAATATTGTAGAGCTTCAACATTATGTGAAAATTGATGATATGGTGCACATGGCTATAAAGATTGAAAGACAATTAAAGCGAAAGGGAAACACAAGGCAAGCCAACACTTATTCGGCCTAAAATTCCAATTGGAGGCCAAATTGGAGGGGAGATAACAAGGCTGTCCAATTCAAAAGAGATGAAAAAACTAAGCCAAAAGATGCTAATGATAATAAAAACAAAGGTATTTCTAACCCTAAAACACTTGATATCTCTATTCCTAGGAGTTTTGTCAAATTGCATCTCAATGCCCACATAAAAGGGTAATGGTGATGCGTGGTGATGGTGTTGAAACGAATGATGAAAATGATGTGGAGGATGAAATGCCTCATTTGGAGGATTGTAGTGATGGGGAAACACCTATGGAAGGTAGATTGTTGGTTTCTAGACGTGCTTTGAATACACAAGTAAGGAATGATGATGAGGGGGTTAAGTTGCAAAGAGAGAATATTTTTCATTCTAGATGTCTAGTGAATGGAAAATTGTGTGGCATGATTATTGATGGGGGTAGTTGTGTAAATGTGGCTAGTACCTTATTTGTTGATAAACTGGGTTTGGAAACTACAAAACATCCTAAACCTTATAAGCTGCAATGGCTTAACAATAGTGGGGAGGTAAGAGTTAATAAGCAAGTAAGGGTGCCTTTTACTATTGGGAAGTATAGTGATGAGGTGATATGTGATGTAGTTCCTATGCAAGCTAGTCATATTTTGCTGGGTAGACCATGGCAATGGGATAGGAAAGTGATGCATGATGGGTATCTCAATAGGTACATGGTAGGAAAAGAGGGCAAAAAGTATACTCTTCTTCCTTTAACCCCTAAACAAGTTTTTGAAGACCAAATGCAACTTGAAAAGTCCCATGATGAATTCACACAAAGAGAGACCGAGAGAACATTGAAAAGAAAAATGAACAAGTAGCATCCCATGTCAATAAAGGGAGGCGCAAGATTTCATTTGAACCCGGAGATTGGGTGTGGGTTCATATGCGCAAGGAACAATTTCCATCAAAACGGAAATCTAAGTTGGATGCTCATTGGGATGGATTATTTCAAATCATAGCCAAAATCAATGAAAATGCCTACAAAGTGGACCTACTAGGTGAGTATAGTGTTTCGGCTACATTTAACATATCTGATTTATCCCCTTTTGAAATTGATGCAAGAATTGATTCAAGAACGAATCCTTTTGAGGGGAGGGGGAATGATACAAACAAGGCTAAAAACACTCAAGATACTCAAAGAGCATCAGAAGGTGACTTGGAGCAAATTTCAAATGATGTAAACACAAATACAGTTCCAAACCTGAAAAGTTTCAACGGACCAGTAATAAGATCAAAGGCAAATAAGCTTAAAGAGTTGCTCCAAGTTTTTACTCAAAAACATGTGGATGATGGGCTGGCCAATTGTGGAAAGTTTAAATATGAGCATTTTGAACAGCCCAAATTCGTAACTTTAATTGGATTTAAGTGATTTGGGATAATTTGGGCTTGTTTGAGTCTTATTGATAATGGATGAATAAGCCTTGTGTATGGGCTGGATTAGTTGGGTTGTTTTAAGTATTTTGGATTGTTTTATTTTAGTTTGAGTTAATTAAGCCCATATAGTTAAGTATAACTCATTTTGGGCTTAAGTCTTGTCTTAGTGTTATTACAAGAATGAGCCCATAACTATATGGTGCCACAAACAATTAGTGGTGTTGGTTAAGAAGATATTGGAGTTACAAGGAGTTACATAACAATTACATGCCTATAATTAGCCTAGTTATTGTTGGAGTTACAATTGTAGTTACCACATAATTAACCTAGTTATTATGGGAGTCACAATTGTAGTTATTGTATTGTAACTTATCATTGATTTCTTTGGCTATAAATTCCAAATGAACTCTTCTTTGTGGACATCAAGCGTTGTAATCAAACATTTCAGAATTGAATTGCGAGCGTTTTGGCTTTCTTTTCACTTTATGCACATGGTGTTGATTTGGAATACGTATTTCAATTTTAATTTTCTATTTCAATTGTTCTTTGTGCTTGTTTGGATTGGGTTCAAGGAATATCATTTATCTTTCTTGGGTTCTCTTTAACTTTTACCATTTGGGTGATTGAATAAATTTGATTCCTTTTTTACTTGTGATCTAAATTCCATTCTAAACCGATTGAAGAGTTCTAAGGTTCAAGCAAGGGTCTTGGGGTTCCGCATCACATTCCCATTCTCCTTGGATGACACGACTAAATAGTGGTTGTTTTACATATCCCCCAGATCAAGCACGACTTGGGCAGAGATGGTAAAAGTCTTCCTAGATCATTTTTTCCAAGCATCTCGGGCGGTCAGCTTTAGAAGAGAAATATGTGGAATCCGTTAAAGAGATTATAAGAGCTTACACAACTACAAGGAGAGGCTCAAAAGATAATGCGCAAGGTATCCACAACATGATATATCATATCCATTTTTAATATATTACTTCTATGATGGGCTTCTACTCTCGAAAAGAATGATGTTAGATGCTTCCAGCAGAGGCACCATCGTCAACAAAACACCACAACAAGCAAGAGAGCTAATATCAATCATGACAGCCACTTCCCAGCAATCCGGTTCCATTCATGACACCCCTCAAAGAGTGAATGAGCTAAGTATCTCTTCCCTTGAGTCTCAAATTTTTTAATTAACTTTTTCAGTAAAAAACATGGCTACAGAGAGCAACCTTTGAGCAAGAATGTGCAAAATATTTGCACATTTAGAACACCCTACGGACATGTGTTCTACGCTCCAAGAAGACAACCAGCAGCAAGTCAATGATGTGGGTGTTTTCCCAACTCAACCGCAAAGAAAGTATGACCCATTTTTTAACACATACAACCTCAAATGGAGAGACCACCCAAATTTTAGTTATGAAACACGACAGCAAAACTACAAACAATACCCAAATAGGCTGCCACTGCCACCGTCACCACAAGTAACACCGCCCAAATAAGGTATATCTCTTGAAAAAATAGTTCAATCACTTATAGTTAACACCTAATAATTTCAAGAAGAAACAAGAGCTAGCATTTAGAATTTTGAGACTCAAGTTAGCTAACTCAAAATTTCCATGAGTAAGTTGGAATCCCAAGGCGAATTACCCTCCTAGATATAAGTGAACCCGAGGCCAAATGTCAGTACAATCACCTTGCGAAGTGGGAAAGAACTATAAGAGGCTCCTGATAAAACAAGCCTTGGCCAAGGCTTGTAAAAGGAAACAAAACTAGAAGCCTTGGGCAAGGCTCTCGAAGTAGTAAAAGATGACAGTGCCCTTTCAGTTAAGATAGATCCTAATCGGTGAATTTTATTTCCAATCAAACCACCTTTCCTACAAAGATTTGCCAAGACAAAAAAATCTTAGAAACATTCCATGAAGGTGAGTATAGTGTTTCGGCTACATTTAACATATCTGATTTATCCCCTTTTGAAATTGATGCAAGAATTGATTCAAGAACGAATCCTTTTGAGGGGAGGGGGAATTATACAAACAAGGCTAAAAACACTCAAGATACTCAAAGAGCATCAAAAGGTGACTTGGAGCAAATTTCAAATGATGTAAACACAAATACAATTCCAAACCTGGAAAGTTTCAGTGGACCAGTAATAAGATCAAAGGCGAAGAAGCATAAAGAGTTGCTCCAAGTTTTTACACAAAAACATATGGATGATGGGCTGGCCAATTGTGGAAAGTTCAAATATGAGCTTTTTGAACAGCCCAAATTCGTAACTTCAATTGGATTTAAGTGATTTGGGATAATTTGGGCTTGTTTGAGTCTTATTGATAATAGATGAATAAGTCTTGTGTATGGGCTGGATTAGTTGGGTTGTTTTAAGTATTTTGGATTGTTTTATTTTAGCTTGAGTTAATTAAGCCCATATAGTTAAGTATAACTCATTTTGGGCTTAATTCTTATCTTAATATTATTACAAGAATGAGCCCATAACTATATGGTGTCACAAACAATTAGTGGTGTTGGTTAAGAAGATTGGAGTTACAAGGAGTTACATAACAACTACATGCCTATAATTAGCCTAGTTATTGTTGGAGTTACAATTGTAATTACCACATAATTAACCTAATTATTGTGGGAGTTACAATTGTAGTTATTGTATTGTAACTTATCATTGGTTTCTTTGGCTATAAATACCAAAGGAATCATCTTTGTGGACATCAAGAGTTGTAATCAAACATTTCAGAATTGAGTTGAGAGCGTTTTGGCTTTCTTTTCACTTTATGCACAAGGTGTTGATTTGGAATACAATTGTTATCACTTGTATTTCAATTTTGATTTCCTATTTCAATTGTTCTTGGTGCTTGTTTGGATTGGGTTCAAGGGATGTCATTTATCTTTCTTGGGTTTTCTTTAACTTCTGCATTTGGATTGAACAAATTTGATTCCTTTTTTACTTGTGATCTAAATTCCATTCTAAACCGATTGAAGAGTTCTAAGGTTCAAGCAAGGGTCTTGGGATTCCGCAGCAGTTGATGACAATCTCAAAAGCATCAAAATGACCATTCCTACATTTCAAGGCAGAAATGATCCCGAATCATACTTGGAGTGGGAAGCAAAGGTGGAAAAAGTCTTTTCAATCCACAACTACTCCGAAAAAAAAAGGTAAAACTTGCATCTATTGAATTCCAAGGTTATGCACTAACTTGGTGGGATAAACTGAATGTCTCTAGAAGGAGAAATAGGGAACGACCTATTGGCACTTGGGAGGACATGAAAGCAGTAATGAAGAAGAGATTTGTGCCCCCTCATTACTATAGAGACTTGTTCAATAAGTTGCAAGGCATAACTCAAGGATCAAGGAGTGCGGAGGAGTACTATCAAAATTTAGACATGGCTATGACCAGAGCCAATATTGAAGAAGATCCTGAGGCTACTATGGCACGTTTCTTGGGTGGTTTGAAAAGGGAGATTGCTGATGTTGTTGAATTGCAGCACTACATGGATTTCGAGGAAATGCTTCATATGGCTAAGAAGGTAGAAAAGCAATTAAAGAGGAAGAGTGGTTCAAGTAAGTTTTCTTCTACTCAATCATCTTGGAAAGGAAATAATATGAATAAAAAGGATGATGTGAAGAAGGCAGAATCCAAGAAATTTGAGCCAAAGAGTTTTTCAAATGGTGATTCAAGTAAGAGCTCTTCTATGTCTAAACTCACATGTTTTAAATGTTTGGGAAAGGGGCATATTGCTTCTCAATGTCCTAATTCGAGAACAATGGTTATGCTTGATGATGGATCTTATGTGAGTCAAAGTGAAGGGGAAGATGAAAAGGAAGCCAATTCATGTGAAGATGAAGGTGATCAATGTGAATTCAGTGGTGATGAAGTTCTTGTTACTATGAGGGCATTGAATATGCAAGTTCAAGAAGAAGAGGCCCAAAGGCACAATAGATTCCATGCAAGATGCAAAGTGCAAGATAAGGTATGCATGCTTATAGTTGATGGTGGAAGTTATACTAATTGTATAAGCACTTATCTTGTAGACAAGCTGGAGTTGCCAATGATCAAGCATCCTACACCATACCACTTGCAATGGCTCAATGATAGTGGAGAAAAAAGGGTGAATAGGCAAGCTATGGTAAAATTTTCCATTAGTAAATATGAGGATGAAGTTCTTTGTGATGTAGTATCAATGAGTGCAGGTCATATTCTACTTGGACGGCCATGGGAGTTTGATCGGGAAGCCAATCATGAAGGCAAATCCAACAAGTACCGAATTGTTCACAAACAAAAGGCTTATACCCTTGTACCTTTGACACCCCAGCAAGTACATAAAGATCACTTGAGAATGAGGGAAAAAAGGCTTGAATATGAAAGTGAGCTAAAAAAACCTACGGAGTGTGTTAAAAAAGAGCAAAAAACAAGTGAGAAAAAAATGCTAGAATATGAAAGTGAGCTGAAAAAGCCTAAGGAGTGTGTTGAGAAAAAGCCAAAAGCAAGTGAGAAAAAATGTGCTTTCTTTGCCAGCATGAGAGATGTAATTAAGGCCATGAATTCTCAGAAACCAGTGATTATGCTTTTGTACCATGAAACTTGTTTGGTTACTAATGAGTTACCTAACGATTTGCCTTTAGAAATTGTTGGTGTTTTGAATGATTTTGCAGATGTGCTAACCGAGGAAGTGCCCGATGGATTACCTATAATTCGAGGTATTGAGCATCAAATTGATTTCCAGCCCGATGCAACTATTCCAAACCGTTCAGCATATCGAGCAAATCCGGAGGAAACAAAAGAACTCCAAAGGCAAGTCGATGAATTGTTATCTAAAGGACAAATCTGTGAGTCTCTAAGTCCTTGTGCTGTTCCTGTGATTTTAGTTCCAAAAAAAGATGGTACATGGTGCATGTGCATTGACTGTAGGGCTGTTAATAAAATCACCATTAAGTATCATCATCCAATTCCTAGATTAGATTGAACAGGATTGTAAGATTTTGATTGTTCACTTATTCGAAGAAAGATACATTTTTTGCTTTTTTCATCTTAACTTCTTTCTCTTCTCATATGGAATATGTGCATATGTCTATGTCCGCTTCAAGCTTCTTTAGGTGTCATATTTTGAACAATAAATGTGGGGTGGCTATTCAAAATATGAACACTCTAATTTACTTCTTCTAGCCAGAACATCTTTGGAACTCTTTCATTTGCCACCATGCTTCTAACCATGTTTAGAATGGTTCGATTTTCCTCTCTATTACACCATTGTTTTGGAGTGTGTAAGCTACTATCATTTGCCTCCAAATTCCCTACTCATTGTAAAATTTTGTGAATTTTATAGTACACTTATTCACCACCACCGTCAGTGCATAGTGTTTTAATGGTTATCCCAGCTTCATTCTCTACTTGAGCTTTAAAATTTAAATGTCATTAAAGCTTCATATTTTTCCTGCAAAAAGTATACCCATGTCTTTCGACAATGATCATCAATAAAAGAAATAAAATATTTCCTTCTGTCATTTAATACAAGATTAATGGGACCACAAATGTCAAAGTGAATCAACTCTAGTATTTTTTAGCTCCCCGTGCCTTTCTTTTTGGGAATGGCTCTCGGTGTTATTTGCCAACAACACATGCTTCACATACTTTAGAAGGGGGAACACTCCAAGGCAAGCTAATCACCATGTTTTTATGAAAAAGAGTCTTCAATCCATTGACATTTAGATGACCATAACGAAAATGCCCTAGCCATGTTGGATTGTTCATCTTGGTCATAAAGCAAGTCTGGATGGTTTGGATTCACAATAGAAATAACCTATTAGTTTCATCTTGACATGTGCAATTAGACCCTTTCTAGGATCGTTAGACTTCACAAGCTCCTCTTTTGATTGTAACTTCATAACATTTTTCTTGCAGCTGTTCCAAACTTAACAAATTGCTTTTCAAGTCAAGAATATAAAAGACATTTGATATTGTCTCAATATTGTTTTCTTTAGTCCTGATTTGAACATCACCTTTTTCCATGACACTAACTTTAGAATGAGCACCAAAACTCACATTAGTATGAAAATATTCATTTAAATAAGAGAAAAATGACTTACTACTGCACATATGATTGCTGTATCCTGTGTCCAAATACTAAACATCTGGTTCATGCTTGTCCTCCTTGATGTAGAAATTCATCAAAAGGGTTTCTTGTTCTTCTTTCTTTACAAAGTTGGACTACTCCTTTTTGTTGGAATATAAGTTTGCAGAGCATTCAGGCTTGTAATGACCAAATTTGTGATAGCGATAACACTCAATATTGGACATGTTAAATTTTATTTCATTGCAGTGATCATTTCCTTTGCCTCTAGTTCGAGATTCTGATGTGTTAGAACCTCTACCTCTTCCTTGTCCACGACCTCAACTATGGCTACTTGATCCTCTTTTTGTAAAAATTTCACTACGAGTTGAAGCTTTTAAGGCTTGCTCCTCAGTTGAACCTATTGTCATTCTCTACTCATGCAACAATAATGAACATTGCAATTCATCAATTGAAAGCTCATCAAGGTCTTTTGACTCCTCAATAGAACATACAACATAAGAGAATTTTGGAGCCATTGATTTAAGAATCGTTTCCACCACAGGTTGATCTTTGATTTTTTCACTATGAATATGCATCTTGTTTACTATGTTTAGCGTTCTTGAGAAATACTCATCAATAAACTCTTCGTGCTTTATGTGAAGAATTTCAAATTCTTTGTGAAGGGCTTGAAGCTGCTGTCGTTTTACCCTTGTTGTGCCTTGATATTTTTTCTTCATAGAATCCCAAATCTATTTATAAATATATTTTTTTAGAAAATCATCTCCAAAATAGCAAGTCAATTGTTTGAAATAGATAATTCTTTGCCTTGAGATCCTTTAGTTTTTGTTCCATTTTTTTCTGTTGAGCTTCCATCAACATCATTCCAGGGGTTGGTTCAAGCACTCCTCTTTCCACGACACTCCAGTATTCTTTGGATTAGAGAAAATTCTCCATCAACATGCTCCAATGATCATAATACCATTGAAACGAGGGTTTGCCAGTTGCACATAACTATTCTCCAACGCCATGGATGTCTACTGTTGTTGCACAACAAAAAAACCTGCCATTTTTTTCTTTTTTTTACTATGATACTAGATGTAGAAACAGAGTAATGCATATTGTATAGAAAAATTGATCTGAACTCAAATGATTTTTACTGATGAAATTTGTCAACTTAAATATGATAAAAATAAACAAACGTTACAAAAAATAAATAAACACTAACTCACAAAGAAAACCACTAACCCATTGATATATAATTGTTGAAATTAAGAGACGCCTACTCTATAGCCTACATGATTAAGACACCACTAATCCACTACTCTATAATTACAAACTAAACCCCCACTAATCCATGACTAATAACTCTTAAATACATAATATAATCTTAACATTATGGACTTTTAATGTCATCTATTTATTTTATTTTAGCTTTTGTTTTTCATCCTATGAATTCTCTCTGTCAATGGCTTAAGGGAGTAGCTTCTTCTAGAAGTTGAAATATACAGAACTCAAATGCATAATAGAGATTGCATTATTGGTTTAATTGGCTTAACAATATTAATCACTAAAATTTATAATCCTACTACCAAATAACATCTAACATTAAATCATTACATTATTTCTCGAGTCTATGAGGAAGATTCATCATTAGGTGGGAGACAAAAAATTTTAGAGCTAGAAACTACATGTGATCTTTCGAGGATTTGGCTACATGTAGATGTGGATGCTTTTTTATTAGTTGTGGAAACTTTTAGTAATCCTTTTTTAAACGGCAAACCAATAGTTGTTGGCAACGTGTCTATGATCTCGACAACCAATTATGAGGTCTAGATTTTTTATTGTAAGTTTGAAGGGGGATTGTTTTATCCTATCATGTCATATATTCAAGTAAAGAGGGTTTACTTAAAGTTTTTAGTTTCTGGTTGTTGATGTATATGCGGGGTTTTGGATGGCATTATTCATCTCAGGTTCTGCATCACATGTAATGCTTGAGTAGCACCAAATCGCTTGCTTGCTGTAACACCCCGCCAATCACTACTCTTAAATGATTTGGAAATCCTATTTATTCGGGCCTTTGGCCACGTTAAACTTAATTAATTTAAGCTACTTGATATTTATCATATTTCATAATTTTGGTTGATTTTTTTATTTATTTAATTTTATTTTAATTAATCTTATTTTAATTTATATAATTTAATTTTAAGTCTAACTCATTTAAATCAAATATAAAAATTGAGAAAAAAATCAGAAACTGCGAAAATCAAGAAGAAAATCCTGCGTGGAGTCAAATTGCCCACACGCTAAGCACTATGCGCGCGCAAATGGGTGCATAGCATGCATGACGCAGGGTCAGGACCTGTGCATATCCGGTTGCATGCAGGCGGGCGTCTGTGCGTCACTTCGTGTGCAGACAAGTGCCGCACAATGTGTGTTCGTCGTCCGCGCAATAGGAGGCTTGTACGCCTACAAGCTAGCCTGCAATGCGCTACCACTACCTCAGGAGGCGTGCTACCATCGCCGGTGGTGGAGGCCCTCCTCCCTCATTTTCCATACTGAGCATCTTTTTCTCCTCTTTACGGGATTTTTCCACTTGGCGTGAATCCGACGTTTCCAAAACTCTAAAAATTGCCCTTCCCCTTCTCTTCCTCTCCACACTTCCATTCTTCCATTTTTTTAAAATTTAGAGAGAGAGAGACATAGTAGTCTAGTGAGAGAAGAAGAGAAAGAAAGAAGAATGGTGAAGGAGAAAACATCAAGGTTTCGGTAAGAAATCTAGTATTTCTTTTGACATCTTAAGGAGTATTTTTAGATAAACTAAATTAATATGATTGTTGTTTTTTTTGTTTTGTATGCCTCTGTGTTCAGATAAGTCAAATTGTTCTTGTTTTCAAGCATGCTATGTGAATTGCAAACACTTAATGAATTTGTATGTAATAAATATAATATATAATCGGTAACATTAAAAAGTATAAAAGAAAAGAAAAAGAAAAAAGTGGAATAAAGCCTGTATGGTCTGAAGTATATCTGTATTGACATGCATATTGCATCAAGTGTCTCGTTAGGCTTTTTATCTCTAAGGGATATCTGTTCCCCTTTCTCTTTGGAGTATCTGTTTTCCCCTCCCGTATCTACTTTGGAAAGACGTAAAAGGACAGCTCCTAATGGATAATGGCATACCCTCTAACGAGAGTGGTATTGCACTATCTGTAGGAGTCACAACTAAGTAATGTCGTCATTGTAGATATATATTAGGGCGACTATAGCTGGTACGACCGTGGTCGTAGATCGTACCATGGTTTGGCCAACTGAAAATGAGCCTGAGCAAATTGCCGTATCTGTATATAATCTGGTCAGTCCACTTAGGTAGTTAGAAATTTGTATTTGCTCTCAGAGATGGAAGTTGTAACGACTTTGTGAAGCATTTCATGATTTATTTAATTTTTTCTATTATCTGGCATGATGTATGTTTGGTTGTTTGTATTAATGTATTGTTTTCTTAATAAATAAATGGTTTTCTATAATGTGACATAGGTAAACGAGGAGGTTAAATGGAAAGTTAAAATAATTAACTTTTTAAATCTTACGATGTTAATTAATATTGTTTTCCTTACTGAGCATATGGAACTCACTCTTTCCATGCCCCCTCCAGATGAGGAAGAAAGTGAAGAACGACAGGCTAACCTACCCTTGGAAGTCTATGTGGATCCCGTGGATCCACAAGTCTAAGTGCATGACTGTTCCCGCACTCTGATGAGTCCAAATAACATAGTAAAAAAAGTGGCTCTTATATTTTGTTTTGTGTTTTGGAGCCACTTTTGGCCTCAGTATAAGTTTGTATTAGAACTCATATGTAAATTTGTAAGGGATTTATAATAATTTTATTCTGCTGCATAAATTTTATCATACACTTA